CCCGACTCACCATGAACCCGAGCTTGCAGCGATGTGTCAACCCCCAACCTCCGGAAAACTGTCAAGAGGGAACAACGCCATCATTGACCCACAATAAAAACGAGCTGGCAGCAATGTGTTCAACCCCCAACCCCCTGAAAAACTGTCAAAGGAGGTATAATACATGATGCCGCCTACAGGGAACTCCTGATCGATCAGCTGCGGCTCACCGAGAGGTCGAGCTTGTCGTACGCGTCCGCGTACTCCTTGCTGCTGCTGCTGCTGCTGCTGCTGCTGCTGCTGTCATCGTTGTTCAAGATGCGCTTCCTGGCCTTGACGATCTTGGACGCGGCGTCTACGTCCTCGAACACGTAGATCACGTTCTCGTGCTTGAGGGGGACCGGCAGCGCTTGCGTGGCCACGCGGAACGATTGGTCGAACATGATTTTCATCAGGTCCTGTCGTTGTTTTTGGTGGTCAATTTTGATTCGGACTTTTAGTCGGACGAAGGTCGGGGCCACGGTCGATATCTCTGGCTGATTGGTTCGGCGAGATACAGCAGTACACGTTGGTTGGATGCTAACACAGACTCAATAAATCAACGGCGACGATCGCTGAACTGTAAAAGGTAACTATTTTCACATATCGACCCTTGGAAAAAGAAAATACCACGGTAAAACGGTGGGTCTATTCTTGCGCCGTAACCCGAGAGACATGCACCGGACACCTTACCGTTTTTCGTCACTCCTTCGAAAGGCACACGTCCACCGGCACTTCTTCGGGCAGACAAGCAAAGAAACCACCGAGTAGGTTGGTCTGCGATCGTAGCCCCACCACACCCCAAAAATATCTGAGCTACATGCAGATAGTACATAGAGAGACGATCGTCCCTGCCCCCACCCCCCGCCCCTGGTGTCCTGCTCCTGCCTGCAACTCCAACCACCGTGCCTCCTCCAATTCACCTCATTGGTCTTGATCCGGCCCAGGGGAACCTGGATGATGTGCCTCCTCGTCCGGCACGCAAGCGCCTTGATGAGGCTCGTCTTTCCGGTGCCGGGGGGCCCGTGGAGGAGAAAACCGAGCTTGTGCGGGTAGCCCCTGATGGCGTACCTGCCCCTCTTGGCCTCGAAGTTCTCCAGCACCCTGAGCAGCTTTTCCTTCTCCGGGAAGAAGAGGGAGTCGAAGTCCTTCACGTCGCCCAGCTTGTAGCGCTTGTAGCTGATGATGCGTGGAGCGTATTTGGGAAGTATTGTTTGTGCGAGGACATTTGGTGTTGGTGTTGGTGGGTACATGACGGTGGTGGTGTTGCTGTTGCTGACGATTGGTTTGATGGCTTGAATGAGAGGGCGGTGTCGTGGGCGCTACTCGTTGTGGTTGGTTCGCCCGACGAAGAAAAGAGGTCCACGTTCCTGTTCTGTCGGTGACGTTGTCCGGTGTGCGCTCAACCCTAACGTTCAACAGTCAGTCCCATCTGAACCGCAATCCTTGTCTCGTGTTTCTTGCCTTTTCCCGGGTTCACATTACGGTCGCCCCGGCGGTCTAGTGGGCAGCCTCGCAGCCTGCTAAGGGCCAGGTCATGGGTTCGAGTCCCGACAGAGTGAGTATTTTCTCGTTAATTAAATCCTGGTCTCCGAAAGAAGCGACGCGCTGCAAAGCTCGTTGTTAGTAAACTTGATCGACTTCACAAGTCGCGAGGGAAGGGATTGCTGTACCCTTCTCGCGATAAAAATATCTCAGGCAGGAACCGCAGGAGGGGGTCCAACCCCCCCCTCCTATGTGACCCCGGTTGGATCGGCTAGCTGGTAGAAGTGGAGGATAGGGGCCAGAGGGTCAGACGACAGAGTCCAATGATGGGAGGCACAAAATATATATATATATATTGCGGGGTGTTCTCTCTCGTCGGTGAACAGACCAGTCACCGATCACACTCACACGTTCAAGGCGAAATGCGCTTGAGCTCATCTCGTGGTGTGTCCGACTTCGATGCGTGCGGATAAGCAAGCAAAACACGGCCAACCAAGAGAACAAATCCGCCGATGTAATTCTTGCTCCCCCCTCCCCATTCTCATCGTTACAATCTCCACGTCTATCTGGCGCTTTCACACACAACACAATCCACCCGTGTATATGCGCACCACGTTATCGAGAATCACTCCATGAGGCGGGTCGACCTAACCCGTAGCCAAACGTACTTGTGACCGCATATCGTGATTGGAAAAATGGGTAAAATTTGTCCATGTTCCCCGCCGTGGGGAGGGGGAAGGGGGGGGACATCCGAGGAAAACGCCGAAGGGGTCGCAAACATGCGTTCGTGATGATGGAACAGACAAAAGTTGTTGATCGTCGGGCACACAACTAGACGAAGACATGGCCAACCGTGCTCCAACAACTCACGCCTAGCTGACCTAGCCACAACAACCGGAACGGGCTACATCCTGCTTACATGATAGGAGAGGACTCCTCCTTCTTCTTTGGATGACCCTCCTCATCTTCCACGCCGTCGGGGTATCTGGCCGACGCTTCCTTCTTCTTTGGCGGTTCCTTGGCGGCCACCAGACTGTACCTGAAAACAAGACAAATGTTTTCGATCCCAACACACGTATACCTTGTTGGAGGTTTGAATGTTCTGTTGTTTAGCTTTCGCTGCGTTGCTTTTTTCTTGTTTCTTCTCTCTCACTAGTATGGATGGAAGCTTTTTAGCATTTCTTATTCCCTTTCCTGCTTGACATTCCCGACCACGCCATTCCAGGGATTCCATCACCAACGTCTTGACAAAACAGTTAAGAGTGTCGGGTCTCCCCCATGTTACCGTCCCCAAGTCATATTCCGAACAGAACATAGATACCGTTATGTTCTCATGGTGCTAAATGTCGTTGTACGACTTGTAAACGTGATCAACGAGTGGTCAAACTT